TATATACATTTCCGTTTTTTTGCTCTTTTTGTTTTAACAATTTTGCATCATCATCGTGTGTTGGGGATTCAGTGGGATACGATTATGAGATCGTATTCATCTCTTCATCGGATGTCGAATCAAATTTGATCCAGTCGAAATCGATGGTGGCGCGACAGTCACAATCGGCGGAGGTAGAGACGGTGATGAACGAGATACGATTACGAGATCGTATTCATCTTTTCATCGAATGTCGAATCAAGTTTGATCCAGTTGAAATCGACGGTGGTGCGACAATCATAGTCGGTGATAAGCTTCAGCGATATTGTTTTGTTTCCATTTCTATTTCTATTTATGTTTCTAGTTTTACTCTGTGTGGACTTCTATGAAAGTTTGAGAGATGGATGTTGGAATTATGAGGAGTAAGGTCTCTGGCATAGTAATGGGGCTTTCTTTGTAGGGAGGGGAGGTGGGTTTGGTTTGATTTGAATTGGTAGAATTCTAGGAATTGTTGAAGATGAAGATAAAGATAAAGATGATGAAGAAGAAGATGTGGGTGATGATTTTTTATTTTTTGATATGTTGAGATTTTTTGAATTTATGATTTGTTGCTGCTATTGGTTTTAATTTTTTATTGTTGGATTTCAATTTAGTAATAATTTTTTGAGATTGGTAATGTGTCTCATATACAAATGATGTGAATGTTCATATCATTAATTAGCGTTAATATTCACATTAGAAAATTGTCATTGTGTTGTCGATCGGTGTTCATATTTACACTATAATCTTGAATGGTGAATATGTTTTCACTGTGTTCATTACCACTGTGACAAGATAATGTTAAGGCTCACATCAGCATAGGCCCGACAATCACAGTCAATGATGAGCTTCAGCGATGTTGTTTTGTTTCCATTTTTATTTCTATTTATGTTTCTAGCTTTACTCTGTGTGGACTTCTTTGAAAGTTTGAGAGATAAGTGTTGGAATTATGAGGAGTATGGTCTCTGGTATAGTAATGGGGCTTTCTTTGTAGGGAGGGGAGGTGGGTTTGGTTTGATTTGAATTGGTAGAATTCTAGGAATTGTTGAAGATGAAGATAAGATGAAGATGATAAAGAAGAAGATGTGGGTGATGATTTTTTATTTTTTGATATGTTAAGATTTTTTGGTTTTCTGATTTTGTTGCTGCTATTGGTTTTGATTTTTTATTGTTGGATTTCAATTTAGTAATAATTTTTTGAGATTTGTAATGTATCTCATATACAAATGATGTGAATGTTCATATCATTAATTAGTGTTAATATTCACATTAATTTGAAATAGAAAATTGTTATTGTGTTTTCGAATGATGTTGATATTTACATACCTATATAATCTTGAATGGTGAATATGTTTTCACTGTGTTCATTACCGCTATGACAAGGTGATGTTAAGATTTACATCAGTATTGGCACGACAATCACAGTCGGTGACGAGCTTTGGCAATGTTGTTTTGTTGCCATTTATATTTCTATTTATGTTTCTAGTTTTACTTTGTGTGGACTTTTTTGAAAGTTTGAAAGATGAGTGTTGGAATTATGAAGAGTAAAGTCTCTGATATAGTAATGGGGGCTTTCTTTATAGAGAGGGGAGGTGGGTTTGGTTTGATTTGGATTGGTAGAATTCTAGGAATTGTTGAAAATGAAGATAAAGATGAAGATGATGAAGATAGAGATGAAGATGTGTGTGATGATTTTTTATTTTTTGAGATATTGAGATTTTTTAGATTTCTGATTTTGTTGCTGCTATTGATTTTGATTTTTTACTGTTGGATTTCAATTTAGTAATAATTTTTTGAGATTGGTAATGTGTCTCATATACAAATGATGTGAATGTTCATATTATTAATCAGTGTTAATATTCACATTAATTTGAAATAGAAAATTGCCATTGTGTTGTCGATCGGTGTTCATATTTACACACCTACATAATCTTGAATGGTGAATATGCTTTCACTGTGTTCATTACCATTGTGACAATGTGATGTTAAGGTTCACATCAATATTGCATTAAATCACACAATCACAAGTCTCAATTTTTATTTTGGATACAAACATAATTTAAATGTTTACACTGGAACATACAAATTTGAAGGTTCGCATGAATTTTGGAATATAGATAAAACCATGGTTTCAATATGTTAATTACCATCATGGAATGGTGATATTAAAAATCACATCAAAATTGCATTGCCCAAAAATCACATTAAGCCAATGATTATGTGTACACAATTATAAACCAGCTGAAGTAATGTGAATGTTCACATTGATTTTATAATCTCCAAAAATATGACAATATCAACATTGCAATAACCACAAACTATCATTTCTATGTGTGCACAAACATGAAGTATACATTTATGCACAATCAAATTATTTATTTGAGTGTTAACATCACGAATAAAATATCAAATAAATTAGTTTAGTTACATGAAACTAATAGTCATGTGTACATAATTATAAAGCAACAGAAACCAATGTGAATATTAGCATTGACATTGTAATTGCAAATATTATGATAACATATCAGTGTACCTTATTAGGCACAACCAAAATAACTAATTCTGGTTCCTTTGTTCAATCAATATATATTCCAATATTTTTACAAAATTGCAAAGGATGTGAAGTTCACATCCATTGGTAGTGGATACGTTCGTTTTGTACGTAAATCATGGATTTTGTATCAGAGAAAACTATAATATTCACATCAATAATAGTTTTTGGCATGCTTGTATGCTTTCAACCCGCGTACGATGACATCATCAAACTTTATACATTTGGCATGGTCGATCGTAGCGGTCATCAATAGACCAAATAATATTCAAAATGGAGTTTTCCTCAAGCAGTTCAACTGAGCCTCTGAGAACTTGGTGCTCGTCATTAATTTAATTAAGCCTATAATATTTGATCAGTGGTAGTTAACACAACGCATGTCGATGTGGGTGCTCCTCTCTATCGGCACGTTATCGTCTTTGACATGATAATCCTCTCTATTCCTCTTTGCGCGGAATTTAAGACAATATCTGCTACATAGATATGCACATTAGTAAGTGTCTATATGAACATTCAAATTGTTAACATCACAAAACAATTAAACTTAAACCAGTAATTAAGGTTCACATCAAAATCGAACTACAATTAGAAGACACTTTATTAGTTGAAGGTTAGCTTGATGTGAATGTTCACAATATATCATACAAATGGGTAGATCCACAACAATCATGTAACAAATTTATTCACAGCATGGGCCACTAAGACATCACCAACATATCATTGATTTCAAAGTACATCATATTGATAAGAACATAATTTCTCAACACAAAGGAAGCATTCACATACTATCTCAACGGTAGCATTCACATAACCATATTGACCAAACCCATGTAAGAATTACTTTAGCAATAAGAATAATGTGAATGTTCACACTGATATTCACATGAGCCATATTGTGAATAATGTTAAACTTTAGAAAAGTCTAATTAAGCCATAATTATAGCAGCACAAAACCATTATGTTTAAAATAAAAATGGCTTGTAAAGTGTCAACATGCACAGAAATACATTGAACAATATGAATATTCACACAAATTACTGAGAGTATAAAAATGAGAATAAACCTCATAATCAAATACCATATATGATATGAATGTTCACATCCATTAACAAGGGGGTGGTCAATTTAAGCCGATTGTGAATGTTCACATCAGAATAACATACAACAACAATAATAACAACAACAACAACTAAAACAAGTGAGTTGGTCCACAATAGTATTTTCCATGTGAATGTTTACTACCATTAATAACAACAACAACTGTTACTATAATTTTTTTCATGAAAAAAAATCATATAATTGGGGGTGAGGGGTTCACATTCAATCATGAATAGTATTAATAACAATAATCGCAAGATTACGGGAATAACAACAATAATATGAGCTTCCACACATTATATGAATAGAATCAAGGGATATGTGTAAAAATCCACATTGGTTCAAATTCAAGAAGAGTTTTAGGGTTTGTATAGAAAATAGGTGATGATTACTTACGTTTGGTGACCATTTCGATGGTTTGGTTATCACAGATGGTCGGCAATGGTGATTCCGGCGAAGATGGAGACAACAACGGCGATTTCGGCGAAGAACGGGGCAAAGACAATGAGAGGGAAAATAGGGGATTGATGACTAGGGTTTAGGGTTTTGAAAGGTTGAGAGATCTTCTCCACGATTTTCTAAAAGAAAGAGAGAGAGATTGTTATTTGGTTCAAAGATGATGAATGTGGGTTTTGGCTCGAGGGGTTTTTGGTCTTTATATAATGAGTAGGACCTAATGGAATAATCTAAAACATTTTGGGTTGTATAGAATAGAACTCTTAGAAATGGGATTTACTAAAAAAGCTCCTTTTTCTAAATCTATCGCTAAAATTAATTTTTAATGATTTCTTATGATTATATTTTTAGTTTGTCAAAAATGATAATTTGTGACATTTTTTAATGAGACTTTTGCAATTTGTTGCTAAAAGTGAACAATTGGTGACACTTTTTTGCGGTAACAATTAAAAGTGAACAGGTCTTCTTGACGCACAAAAAATTTAGGAAGACTTATTGGTGCACCCATATCTTCCTAATAGGACTTTTCAATCAATTCCCCATAAACATACAAGGGCAGTAACAAACCAATCCAGACTGAACTTATTCATGAGAAGATCTCATTCAACTTTCAATAATAAATTTATTATTTTTTAAAAACAAAAAATAAATAAATAAGTAAACTATTCATATTTCTCATATCATATTTCAATATAAACTTATACAAACAAAAATAAAAAATGTCTCAATCATTAATATGAATAATTATCAATAACAAATGGTCATTTCACAAACTTAATGTACATTTAAAAAGTTTCAATTTCTTTTCATTATCAAAATGAGTAGAAAATACGGGGAAAAAATACAAAAAAATAAAAAATTACTCAAGACTTATGAGTAAATAAGTGCAACCAATTGGACCTGTTAGTAATTATCTAAAAATAAAACAGCCCTAAAAAATTCAAGTAATTGAAGCACGGTCCTGGCCTTACCGGCCCCATTGGACGTGTTTCATATCATACCATACCCAAGCAAAATATACATATGCATATAAAATAAAATTACACACATGTACCACTGAACTGAATCAAGAAGTCATCACACTATTGTTAGGAATTTTTTTAGTACAATCATCAAGAAAATAATCCGAAAATTTCTATAGAGAAAACTGAGAGTTGTATTGAAAATCCTCACTCGACCTTTGAGGGAAGAAACTCAAAAAGGCCATTGATTATAGGTTTAAGGAAGAAGCTCATATTTGCATGAACCATGACCTGTCAAAACAGAGATAACAAAGAGAGATGTTATGTTAGCCATAATCTGTATTGTATACATTAATTATCAAACCATACTGGACAAATCAGTACTGTACCTACTTGGTCATGATTAAATACTCCGTATACATAAAATAGTACCAATTAGACCGGTAGTTCTTATATTTTGATTCTTATTAATTTTGATTATGAATTTATAATTTTATTCAATTTTGATTATAATTGTTAGTGTTTTTTGAGAGAAAATGTAGACATGAGTTGTATGTGTTATGCTTTTATAGATAAAATTATAAATTTGTTTAACTTAGTAAGTTAATCTCAACCAGCTCAATAATTATTATTTTTAAATAAAAATTTCTAATCAACGCTATCCATTAGACCAAATTGACACAAAATTTAAAGTTAAGAGTCAAAATCAAGTTAATTGAAATTACAAAAACCAAAATGACACAAGATACCAAATGCAAAGACTACCGATATAATTTATCCTATAAAATATAATGACCATAAGTTACCGCCTTGAAAATACATTCAGTTCATGCTTTATTTATATATTAATTTTTTTAAAGATGAAATTATCCCTGGCTATATTTTTCGACAAGGTACTATTGATCAATCCTTGAGTTAATCCCACGTTGGTTGAACTATAAAGAAAGGACTCAGATTTGACTTGCTTATAGTCCCAACAATTTTCCCAACAAAACCATAATATAATATAACAAAATGATTGAGATTCACCATCTTAGAGGTAATATTTTCTTTTGAGAGTCTTGCAATGTTAAACAAAATGTATGAGTTTTTATAAATGTTGAAAACCTTGTTAAAATGTTTTATTTTTGGATATTTGATTTGTGCCAACAAAAAAAATTTCCCTTCCTTAGCCTAAGCTTGGCGAGAGAAGAGATCCCATCTGAAAGCAGACCCTTCAAAAGCAAGAAATCACACATGGGCTTACACTTTTCAAGCACATGGACTGCCCTCCCCATAACATCCCTTGCGCGACTCACAAGCAACCTCACCATGCATAATTAAAAAAGAAAAAAAAAAAAAAAAGTGAGATCTAGCTATGTAAAAAAAAAAGCAAGAAGTTATTTGGTGGCCCCAGAGTTTTCCCCAATGCTCTTGGATGCCACAAGTAAATGTTAAGGAATCACATGATCATGTGGTTTCTAAGACTATTGAAGGCAACGTTTCAAATTACTAAATAATTTTTTTTTTTCAAAAACACATATCAGTGCAATTATTTGTTAATCATAAAATTACGAGTAATGTTACGATTTCAGAAATTTTTATCTTACTCAAAAATATCAATCTATGACTCAAATTTATTTAAATCCAACACTATACAAATTCAATTTCCACTACATGAACACACTACCTAGAAATTTTCCTAGGACAGTATAGACTAGGGGTTGTTTGGGATGGAAGTTTGGGACTAAATTAGTCAATAAAGAGAAAACATGTTATTTTAGTCTATAAGACAAAATGTCACATTCAAACTATAATTATTTTATTTTTTCTCTTACAACCATCAAATAAACTATAAAACAAGCTCATCATCATCTCAAACACAATTTTTTTAGCCAAGTTAAAGTAGCCAAATAGTTAAAAAATCAAGCTAAAAAAGTTCATTTGAAACGAATGCTTATGTTAAAATTTTTTATTATCAAACAGGACATGTACTTTTCTTACTTTTGGTTTGAGCAATTATATTATTATTGATTTGGCTGAAAAGAGTGGATTGAATGACATTGTTCTAGTTTGGTATTCTTACTTGGATCAAGATCAGTGATGATAGCAGCTGCATTGAAGTAGCAACTGCCTCCTTTGTTCTTCATCTTCTGATAATAGCTGTTGAATGCAAAAGAGGCATGGTCCTTGAGAGTGTTTGGCAAATAACAATGCTGTTTTTCTTGTATCTTACTGCAATCTGCACCATTCCTACATGCCCAATCAAGTGCCTTTTGCAACTCATCATCTGGGGTCTGCTCATCAGCTATGCACCAATCTTCAAACTGCCCATCTAATAACACACAACAACCACTTAAATCATAAATAGAAAATTAAATTATTGAACCCCATCTTGTATTGTTGTTTCATAACTTGCCCTTTTCTTTTTCTAAATATAACCATATAATTTTCTGAAATGTAATGGATTCTATGAGCAAAAGAAGAGATTGGTACAAACTACGAGCAAAAAGAAATACATTATTATAACTAGTTTTTTTAGCATAAATATTATATAAATTTTGATGTTTCATGGAATCATCCAAATCATGTTTTCAACCACAAATTTCACCTAAAATGAATCTAAAACATAGTTTACTATAAGAGGAAATAATAGTACGTCTATCTGTTGTTTTATGTGGAAACTCCTTCGATTGTTGCACATAACTGTCCAATCTCACACTATACAATACTATCCAAAATACCCAATCATACCGTTAAAGTATAACCACTGTGCACAAAATACACAAAGTTATTACATCGTTGAGATTAACTCTACTGAGATCACAATCATTAATTTGGGTTTTATTAGCGAACAAAAATATGAGCCATAACCCAAAGTCCAAAAATTCCAATGGTGTTTTCCTTTTGTTCTGGCCTTGCCTCTCGGGTTTGTAAGTGGTTATGCTTAAGGCTAAGGCCTTTGATTTGCTTAGCCGTGTTTTTGTGTATCCTTTGGATTATGTAATGTATTTCTCATTTGGGGTAATAAAACAAAAAAGCTAAAAAGAAGGAAAGATGAAAAATGAAAGAAAATGGATTCTGTTTTTGGCCTCAGGTGGTGTGGTAAAATAGTGAGTGAACTACCCTTTTCAAAGATATATGTTTGTGAAACACAATTAAGCAGAGAATTACATGTACAACTATATAATATGTGATCTTTCCCAAGATATATAGATAACCTGAGGATGACATTAGAGATTAATGAAAAAAAAAAAAAAAATGAAAAACGAGACAAGACTGAAAGTTTACCAGATTTTTGTGGAATTGATGAGAAAAAGAGTAGAACAAGTAGAATCCTCAGCAAACCAGATGACATATTGTTCTTGTTTGTGGCGCAGTTTCAGCAGAATCTCTATCAGAATTCAGAACTAAAACTAGAACTGCACATATATGTTTATTATCACCACAAATACGTCTAGTTTTATTATGGTATGATGTTAGTTTGAGAAGCTAAAGAAGTTTGTTGGCTTTATAAAAAGTAGTGATTCCACCACAATCTTTGAATTGCTTTCGTCTTAGGATGGATAGTGATTTTTATGTATTTTACTTAGAATGTCCAAACTGCCCTCCTTTTACTTTTGTGATTTCCAGTTTAGTCGTTGTATATTGTAGTAAAACTAGAGAAGAACCCTTTCTATTCACACTGGTCAGAGGATAATAATTAACTAAGTAATTAACTGAGTAATGGTTACATTTTTTTAGACCTTTATCATCTCATATTGTACACTCACAATCACTAGTGTAATGAGACCGACATGAATGTTATTAATATTAGTCACTATTATCACATTAAGTGATAATTTGATAGGTATTTAAATAGAGTTTGGCTTGTATCAAGTTATCATATCAACTTGACAACATATCCATTTAAGCAAATAGATATGAATTTTATTTTATTTATTTATTTATTTATTTTTATCATAAAGGGTTATTAAATTATTTAAACCTTTTTAATAATTATTTGAATTTGGAACATCAACTAAATTTAATTGTAAAATAAATATGGTTATTTAACAAATATTTTAATTTAAGCTCTAGAAAAGAAAGTATATATATACTTTTGTTTTCTTTTTAAATATTTTTCAAGTTTATTTTGTATGTAAATAATATAAAATTTTAAATTAATGTTTTATAAATAGTCGGTCCATTCTGGGCCGAGTTAGGTTAAATTTTTTTATCTCAAGTCCAATTCAAAAACAAAATAGGATTAAAATCTCTGCCTAACCCAATCTTATGGACTAAAAATTTTTCTTAAGTTATAAGAATATCAGGTTAGGTTGAACGGGTTGAGCTAGTTGGGCGAGTCATCAGGCCCATAGCCACACCTGGGGATTTTGGGTCCAAAGATGACTGAAATAATTAGGGTGAGCATGGTTTGAATTGGTTCAGTTTGGATAAAATCAAGACCAATCTGTTGTTTACAGTTCCATAAAATTTGGAACCAAATCAATCCATTTAAATCATGGAAATAATTCGAACTAAATCATTTAAGCATAGTTCGGTTCGGCTTGGAACAACAGTTTTACATAATATGTTCACAAGAAAAATCATATAACATTCATCAAACAAACTAGTATTAAGCAAATATTGTTCAATATTAATCTACCCATGATTTTTTTGAAACATAAACATATTGTTCTACTATTAACTTAAATAAACATAATATCTAGTAAATAAATATATTATTCGACATGTAATAAATATAAAACTCCAATCAAATAAACATTGTCGTTGCAACAAAAATTACAAAACTAAAATTTTGTTAAATAATTAAAAAAATTAGCAACATAGAAAAGAGAAGAGAAAACTGAAATGATATGAATTTCAATTTGGTTTTATATATAAGAAGGTAGCATTGTATGCAGTGTATGGTAGGTATATGGCTTAAGTTATATACGGTTCGGTTCAGTTCCAATCTGGAACTGTAGATTTGTTGGCTTTTTTGGTTTTCAAGGGTTAATGGTGTAAATTTAAACGTGCTAGTAAGGATCAATCAGTCCTTACATAATTTTTATTGCCAACCAATTATCAGACGATTGTGTTGAAGTTCTTTTAACCTCAATGCAGAAGACTTTTACTGGTGACTTGTTTAGGAAAAACTTACAAACAATAACAAGTACAAAGTACAGTTCAGAAACTGAATTTCATTTAAGCAAATAAGAACTTACAATGAAATGACCCTGCCTTAAAAAGGTTTATAGCGATTACTACTTGAAACTACTCCTAGGAAATGAAGTGCAGTGCAGGAATTGAAGTGCTGGAAATGTAAAAAACTAGAAATGTAAAACTGGAAAGAAATATGAAGTAAATAAACTGGTTTATGGATCTAAGTCTGGATGCTTCATTCTGGAGCCTTCTCTTCTATTTATACTTTCCAATGGTAACTGTCGAAGTGGGCCTCCAACTGTCGAAAGGTCCTCCCATGACCCCTGATCATGTTCTCTCACAGTTAGCTTCCACTATGCCATTCTTGCAGTTAGGCTTCCCTCATGAAATTGAATTTGAATTTGAATTTGAATTTGTGAGTAACTGTTGAGCCACGTCATCTTGCACCTTCTAGCCGCTCTAATGCTGCACAGATCCATTATTACCAATATGAACTGCCACATGTTCATTGCTAATTGAAAGCTTACACTAACTCTCCAAGTTACCCTTTACATGCCACGTGTTAAGCTGTGATTGGCTTATGCAAAATATGTAACCAACATTACCCCCCGCACTAATATACCCAATACTTTGTGATATTAGTGGATCAATGTACTCTATCCACGTCCTAGGACGTGCATGGACTTTGTTTATCTTAGAAGTGTAACCATCTTCTTAGAAATGAAGCACTGAACTTCATTAAATTCTCCTTTACGCTTGAACACTTCCTCCACTATCTGAGTATCCGAACATCTTTAATGACCAATCAAGCCCTCTCATATACTGATCGAGCATATGAAGAGTTGAAAGAACCTTCATCCATTTATTGGCCACACTTATCCTCCCCCATTTATACAAGTTATGGAAGCTTTTGCACCGTACGAACCTCTGGACCAAGCATTTGCACAAATAGATCTTGAAAGCTCTTCATCTGCTCCAAAACTCTCTACATAGGATGAAACTGCTTTCTCTTCTTTTGGAAATACTGGCTGGGCAACACCAATTCAACCTTAAATAAGTGAGCAGATTCACTATAGAATTGTTGAATTCGATGATCCTTTTCTAGTGCCTCCTTCTTTCTGAAGCTCAGTTGTATATCCTTACGTATCCATTGATCACCGTCACTGTTTGGAGGGCAACCCACTTTCAACGTGGTACACCTCTTTCCTACTAATGAGAATAGTACAAAAAAAGTCCCAACCCAACTGAAGCATTGGGATTCAGTCCCTCATTATTGGCTAAGAAAGCAAAATATTGCTTTTCTGACCGGCTGGAGTGTGCGAATGATCCCCAATTTCCTCATTCTTTTAGAATGGATCCTTCTGCACCATATCTTTCTCATAATCCTAATTAGATGGAGGAATTGAAACTTACTCTCTTCGAGGGTGAGCATTTTTCCTCCTATCAACCTCCAGTTCCTCCAACTGTATTTCAACAGTATAAAGCTTGTAACGCCCTCAAAATAATAACATTAAACCCATCAACAAAGACATGCATTGATATATAAAAGTTCCATATTCTTCTATTCATCAGAGTTCCATTACCAAAAAGTATTACATGTTAATGACAAAAGCAAATGCCCTAAAGGCTTACAGCTTTCCAAGTTAACACTTGGTTACAACAAAAGAGTACTAACTCATTTACACTTTAAGCCCTTGGCTTGAATATACATGTAATACATCAAGAAACTAAACAACAAAAGTCTGCCCGCCCTAGCCTCCCAAGCTACGTCCTTGGATGTGGCATGCTACCTGCACCTGAAAATGATATTCCCATATAGGGTGAGCCACAGCCCAGTAGAGATATGCTAAACACAGTATGAGCAAATGACTAAGACATTAGCAATTGATAAATGTTCAACTTTCATAAACCAATTCATAATCCATTTCCATTTCATGATCACAATATTCATGTTTCATTTCAGTTTCCATTTCTTATCAATTTCACAATTTACATCCTTGGCTCAGAACCTGGCCGACCACTTATATGAGACAAAGACTCACATTAAACATTTTCCATTTTACAATAGATAAACACACTGGTTATATCAATATCTCAACAGATAAGCATACGAGCTATATCCACATTTCAACAGATATGCATATTAGCTATATCACACTTCCAATGACAAGCATATGAGCTATGTCAACACTTCCAAAGATAAGCATATGAGCTATATCAACACATTATCTGACAAGCATATGAGCTGTATCAGTGGAGTCCATCCCCTATCTCCTCTCACACAACATCCGGTTTAGAGGTCCATCCCCTATCTTCCCCTAAACCGTGGAGTACATCCCCTATCTCCTCCCCCACACACACATATATACACAGAGGTCATATACGCAATCCATCAATACATAACGTTAATGTACTCTACCAACCGTCATACTCTATGACATATCCAATTGATTAGTTTTAGTTTACCTAATCATCATGCATTGTCTACAACAATCAAAACTACCCTCAACCGGTAGCCCAAGCAATTATTTCTAAACAGATAATAAAAGCTCCACCAGTTAACATATCGATATTTTCAAAAGTGAGCGATTTATGAATCTAACTCCACTATTCAACCATTTAATGAACCGATTTCATTATTTCCAACTTAATTCCATAAGTTTACAATTTTCCCAAATTAATTATGCCAATTAATTTATACAACAATTTAGGGTTTTCTACCCTATTTTCCAATATTGACCCAATGGCCTAATATCAACAACCAACAACTATATCATCACTTTGAGACCCAAAATACAAGTTATGAGCCCAAAATCACAAAACCCTTTTTACACATTTTGAAACCCTAAGTCCCAAAATTTCCCAAGTTCAACACTCTATCAAAACAACTAAAAATCTAGGTCAAAGACCATAAGAGTGAGTAGGAATCCCTACCTCAAAAGATGAGACCCAACGAGGAAGATGGTGAAAACGAAGTTGCTCCAAACCACGAGTTTCTCGGATCAAAAGATAGCCCTCGACGATCAACAACCTTTTTGTAAAGGCCAAAGGTGAGGAAAACACCCTAGCTAGATCAAAATCTAGAGAGAAGGCAAGGTTTTAGAGAGAGAGGCTCTCAAATGGCTTTTTCGGAAAAGTAAGAGAGAGAAAGGATGAGAAAAAGTGATTTAAAACTGCCTCACAGCCAACTGATATACGACATTCCCGCTCGAGCGGAAAACACAACGCTCGAGCGTCAAGAACAAAAACTAGGTCCGCTCGAGCGCAAGAAGACCCGCTCGAGTGCCAAGGCACAAGAATAAAGCACATCCGCTAGAGCGCGAAACCAGTCCGCTCGAGCGTAGATT